TACTTTTTGTTCTCTATTTTGCCTCCAGGCCTCTTTCCGCTTCTTCTCTCTGTCTCGCTTATAGACAATGTGTGTTGGTTGGTTTTTTCGGTCATTTCCCCCTTACATTAGTTTAGACTTTCTCTCTCACACACACACACATACCATGCCTGACATCTCTTCCCAAAGCACTTAGAAGTGTCAAAATGTCTACCCACTTTTTGGTTAAGTAATGGCACGGTATCGATTTTCTGCAGATCATTGACATGTTCAGAGATAGCTTTCCAAACCAAGATGCACAGCCTGGCTTGCAGCCCATCAATTCATAAAATTAGGATTATTGAAGAAGCTCATTTGGAACAGGGTGAAGGTTGCCAAAAGAATTTAAAACTCAAATGGGGTTGTAAAGCCTGACAGGCTGGCCTTGAACTTACAAGATTAAGCTCAGAGTACAGTAGATGCTTTTCAAATTGGGCAAAGATTTTCCCGAACGTTTTCTGCCTGCCAAAATGGGGGAGATATTACTCTGTAACCTACATTCTGCTGGTTTTCAGTATCAACCATCTGTTATAGCTGCAGCCTGGTTTATTTCCCCCCCCCCCAATGGGTTTGTTCCCACAGGACCTCTGTTGAAAGAATGAGAAGGAAAGGCAACACGAGGAAGGGAGAAATGGAGAGAAATGGGGACGGAGACAGAAACTTATCAGAAACGGAATAACGAAACAAAAGACACTTATTTATTTATTTAAAATATTTTACCCCACTTTTCTCCTTAACAAGGACCCAAGGTAGCTTGCATCATTGAAAGAGAGTATTTAAAGGTTAAAATGATGAATATACAAACATGAAAAGGATGAAATGAATACAATTAAAAAAATAAGCAATATGAGAACACATTCAATGCAATCAGCTACAAAAATTCATTAAAATAAGAAAGAAACAAAAACACCACCCTCTCAGTCACTAAGGAAAAAACTGCCTGAAGAGAACGGTCTTGTTCACCTGCTTGCAAGAGGGCAGCAAAGATGGAGCCAGCCTGGCCTCCAGTGGGAGGGAGTTCCAAAGTCTGGGAGCAGCCACAGAGAAGGCCCTCTCCCATGTCCTCACCAAGCACTTCTGTAAGGGTGGTGGTGACTGAGAGAAAGGCCTCCCCTGGTGATCTTAATGCCCGGGCAGGTTCATAAAGGGAGATGCGACCTTCAGACAGCTTAGACCCAAACCATTTAGGGCTTTATAGGTTAATGGGAGATGCAATCTTAAGACAGCTTAGACCCAAACCGTTCAGGGCTTTATAGGTTAGAACCAGCGCTTCGAATTCTGCCCGAAAATGGATCGGCAGCCAGTGGAGCCCCAGTCAGCAATCTGGCTGCTGTGTTTTGGACCTGCTGAACTTTCTGGACACTCTCCGGAGGCAGCCTCAAGTACTACATATTACAGTGATCCGGCTGGGATGAATCTAAGGCACGGTCCCACCACGGCCAGCTCAGGCCTCTCCAGGAACGGGCGCCGCTGATGAGTGTGCATTCAGTGATGGGGGTCCTGTGAATTCTACTCCACACAACCTCCAGATGGAGTTGCCGCTGGCTTTGGCATCAGACAATAAATCGTACTGTTCCTTCTTTTCTGTGCTGTTTGACTGGCACCTTTAAAAAATAACCTGAGTTGTCCGAATCTGTGACATCTTTCACCATGTTTTGGGGCTTTCTGCCTACCTCAGAGATAAACACGAAGAATACAGAAGTCATATTTCAATAATTATGTCCTGGCTATATAAAAAAAAACACTCCAAGAACAAAGAAAGCTTTGTTTCACAGAGAGAGAGAGGGAGGGAGTGAGACTATAATAAAGAAACGCACAACATCTCACACATGAATAAAAAAGGTGGAGGGAAACATATGAGAAAACCTTTGCTCCCTGGATAATGATCTAAAATGACATACTCTTGGAAAAGGTGTTACTCTTTAAAGTATTTTGAAATACAGTACATATATTCAGACATGGATGCAGGTTAACATCATCTCGGACCTGATTGTTCTTCTTTAATAAAGAAACGCAGAACATCTCACACATGAATAAAAAAGGTGGAGGGAAACATATGAGAAAACCTTTGCTCCCTGGATAATGATCTAAAATGACATACTCTTGGAAAAGGTGTTACTCTTTAAAGTATTTTGAAATACAGTACATATATTCAGACATGGATGCAGGTTAACATCATCTCGGACCTGATTGTTCTTCTTATGTATGCCTAAAGACATTTTTTTCTATAAAATAGTTTTCTTCTTGTTTGCCTTTCAAAAACCTAATTGAATAAGTCAGCTTTATCGTACGTTAACATCTATCCAATGCCCTACATCCTCTCGTCCAGGGGTCCCCAACCCCCAGTCTGCGGTCCGTGGCCGGTCCGTGGCCTTGACAGGACTGGACCACGGTGGCAGATCTCCCACCCCCTGCATGCACTCCCCCTTGCACCCCCCATGTACGCACGGCCTACCCACATGCATGAGTGCCCCGCCCATTCGCGTGAGCATGCCCCACCGACCCCCAAGCACAGGGGGGTATTCTGCCTCCCGTGCACTGACCCCACCCTCCCAACCGATCCGCGGTTCAGAAAAGGTTGGGGACCAGTTCTAGTCTATAGACAGTGATGCTTGCCAATTGTGCGGTACCTCAGCTTTTAAACAAAAGCTTCCTAGTTTGTCAACCTTTTTATATTGCTCTCATGCATGAGAGAGAAATGTCAAAGTGGCTGCTGTTTCCCACCCCTACACTTTTGTGGCAAAGACAAGAAAAATCTGTGAATATATATTTATCCCATCTTAACTTGGGAGTGACACATTTGACTTTAGAGTCAATTGTCTTCATGACAGCATATTTTGACATATCATGACGGATTATTCCTCTCCTATTCCCACCGTACCCTTACCACTCAAGTACAGGTCATACCAAATTTGGCCTACCACCCAGGGCTGACCCAGCACATTATGCTGCCTGAGCCAGGCAACCCCTCTCTACATTTCAACATTAAAGGGTGAGCGATTGTAGTTTTTCGTTTGTTTGTTTGTTTTTTGCAATCTTGGATGCTTTAGTAGGTTTGGCCGGGATGGACCTTTTTTGAGCTTGGGTGACTGTCAAATTATCTAGCGCTAACCAATAGTTCCCCTCCTGTTTCTGAATTCAGAGAGAGCTCTGCCACCTCTCTGCTCAGTGCTTTTTTTCCTCCGTAGAGTCTGCTGAAGTCTGTTTCTGAAAGCGGTCATGTTCGTCAGTTTGCTGTTTGAACCGTCCACAACGGTAAGTAAATGAATCTTCTTATTCTTTCTCCTCCTACTGTCTCAGAGTGAGACATTACTGAGATTGTAAGTGCCAGTGAATGAGAGGAAAAGGAAAAAGGGATGGACTAATGTGGTGACCTAGAAGCTATTCTGCTCTGTGAATCCCTGCGCTTCTCCTGCACAGCTACTGGAATTTAACCAGAAACTCAGAACTCTCCAACATGGGCAGTCCACAAAGCCAGGAAGGTTTTTTTTTTTCTACCCTTAGGTAGAAAATCCAACAAGTGACTTTCTCCATCCTTGGCAGGAGCAACACAACATGAACAAAGCTGACCATGAGAAATGTGTTGTCATGATGTCCAGAGTCTGATGCCTGAGGGGGAGCTGATTTCCTCTGCTGGATGCTAGGCCTGGCCCTGCCGCAGTGAAATTCCCCATTATTGTTGCGTCTAGGAAAGCCATGGGTGCCTCCTATAGCTTTCTCACCTACGGACCTCTCTTACTCTCCATGGAGCGATCTTGCTGGCTGCAGAAACCCAGTGCAGAATCCATTTTCTCCACATGGTTCACCCCCTTTCTCCTGCCTAGGAGAAGGGGACCGAATGTCGGTGTGTAACGGATGGGAGTCAAAGAGGAGCACGGAAATAAATATCCTTTGCTTTTATTATTACACGGTGGCTGTACCCACTGTATAGTTATAGCTGATGACAAGTTTCCAGGTTATGCCCCCTATGGAAATAAATGGCGGATACTGTCCTATTTCCCCCCCTTCCCTTCCAGAAATCTTTTGATTATGGTTGTTGTTCACCGACACTGTCATTCTATATTCTTGACTCCAACACCATCAGAAAAACTGAGGTCCCTATTTGTGTTGTTTACCCAAAGGATATTGTGGCAATTACAGGTTGGATATTGTGGCAATTACAGGTTGAAAATTGTGGTTGTCTAATTACCGCTCAACCTCCAGGCTGGGCTAGTTTTCTCTTAGAATATATCTGATACTGAAAGGTGTTTTCTGGGGAATTTTTTGAGTAGCATAGCATGTCTTATCAAGAAACAAATCTAAAAGAGCAGATCTTTTTTTTTCCTTTACAGAGTATGGCTTAACAATACATATTCTTAAATATAAACAACGTCTAACTAGTGCCATGCCATGAAAGGCGGAGGAACATACTTGAATACAATGTTCTCACTTAACGGTAACGGCACTCGGAGGATAAGAATATGTTTCTATAGAGAATTCCAGATTTAATGTTACTGTTGTCTCTTTGCTTTGTTATTTACACCAGGGCTCAAAACATTAAGTCGAAAACTTACTTCATTAAAATTCAGCGCTGAAAATTAGGAAATCAATCTGCTAGTATCCATTTTTAAAATCCAGAACAATTTGACTTGCTAAAATGGGTGATGTTAATGCAATCATTTATAGATTGGCTTAGCAGACTCTCTGCCGAGGCACGCTGTCACTCCCCATACCACAGAGAGAGAAAAAATGCCTATACCCCCTTTTTTTGAAAATGATTTATCTACACAGTGGTTGGCTGGTTTGCTTCCTCGTGGTATAGATGCTGGTTACACATATGAGGAGGAAGGAGGGAGAAAGAGAGAGAGAGACAGATAGAGAAAGCTTGGAGAGACATTGTTAAAAGCTATGCTGGGGGTGGTTATGGGCATAAGGGTCCACCCAGTGACCTGGAGAGGGATCAGCCTTGGGACGAAACTGGCCAAAATACCTGGCTTGGGCTTCATTGTCCAGGCCTCACACCTGACACAGCCCACGGCATGCTGCTCAGGCATCGTGATGCAACGGCACCTCCCCATCTGACAGGGGGTTCCACAGGGCACCAGCCACACAGCCTTGCTGGACTGCTGGGTGGAAAGGAAGCATGGATACCTTTCGTAAAGACCTACGTGAGATGAAGAGAAAGAAAGAAAGATGATAGAGATCAACGGAGCTGCTTACATCTTTTGGATGCTTTCTTGGGGGGTATGGCTATTGGAATTCATTATGGCCGCCCGCACTTGGAAACGGATCCCTACCTGGCTGGCCTCAGAGCTGTGTTGAACCTTTATTTTCAGGAAACGGTTTGCTCAAGCCAGGATTTGACCTTCGTTATGGATATTTTAAGCTTAGTTCAGCACGTTGTTGGGCCTCAGGGGAGTTTACTGAAGGTTCATCGCTCATATTATTCTGACAATAATCCCATATTATGCTTTTCATCTGATAACAGCAGCAGGAAAGAAGGAAATTCAAGAGGATTTCTTCACTTGAAGATGAAAAATGCCAGTTTTTTTTTAAATCAAAGGGTGTTCAACTTCCAATTTTCCCAAGATGATCCCACTCACACTAACATAGGGTGAACTCCCCTTCCAAATATATACATTCTTTGCTGAAACTGTCTTCAAAGGAAGCCCTGTAGAAATCTCTTCTGAACTGCGATAGAATAAAGCATGGAGGATCAGAACGTCCCTCCCTTAAGGGATGTGGTAGCTTCCAAACTAGGAAAGTTGGGTCTAACGTGGCAGTCATGTCCAATGAGAGCTCAGCCAGACAAGGTAGTCTTCAAAAACTTCAAACTTCAAATACATTTATTGTCATTGTAAGTCTATACATAGTATACCCATACAACGAAATTCACACAGACACCCAGAGACCAGACCCACATGCACACACATAAAAAATCCCCAAGCACTCTCCACCCACAAAAAATCCCCCACTAAAAATGCAAGCATCTACACCGCAGGCTAAGTAACACCAACTGTTCACTACTGGTCGTCTTTAAGTTCATTAAGTGAAATCATAGCTTTGGGATAAAAAACCATTCAGAAAACATGTGGTCTGAGTCTTAATTGTTCTGTATCTTCTGCCAGACGGCAACATTTCAAAGAAGTTGTAAGCAGGATGGGGAAAGATGTCATCCAGGGGTGATAGCTGGAGCCTGATGATATTCTGGTCAATTTAATGGTTCTCTGTAGAGCTTTTTTGTCCACTACAGAGCTACTCTGTATGAGTGGTGCCCTTTCCAAAGACATCCAGGACGGAGGTCTCCAACATTCACTGCCAGACTTCTTCCTCCCTTGGTTGACTTAGTTCACTAGACTTTGGCGTAGGTGGTGCACCAAAAGCTTCTCATTTTGCCCCACCAACACAAAACAATTCAAATATGGACCAAAGGGTGCAGGTTAGTGCCTGCTTTCTATTTTGGACCCAGAGTTTTTAATGAGTTTCGGTGACCCTGATGATGGATTTATTGTGGCTGTGGGTGGAACACAATCGCTGAAATCCAGTTATGCACTTACACAAAAGGCATAACTTCTAGCAGCAAATTGGCGTAACTTAAGAAATCTCTCCAGGCATTATCTGTTGCATACACAATTGCACAATTCAGCATGCTGTGCACCAGAATTCTGGCCCATAAGAATTTATAAGGCACAACTTGTTTTATTTGCAAGGCATTCCAAACAGAAAACCAATCTTATTTGCTCACTATCTCATCGAACCAACAAACTTAGGTTCAAATGACTGTTACATCAAGATCTTTCCCCTCTTTCTAGTTGGGGATGTATACTTTTGCCCCTTGTACCAGAGGTGGCTAGATAGCTCAGTGGTTTGGGCACCTTGAAGTTCAATTCCCCACTGTGCTGCCTTGACAAGGGCTGGACTCAATGATTCAGCTCTGCAGTTCTAAGATTCTTGTTATTCTTATTATCCGCCTTAGGAAGAAAGAAATTATTAGGACCAGCAGTTTATAATTTGAAAAGAAAAACAAGGCACTGTTTAGTGCCTGCTATGTGTCTTAAAAGGGCATAAAGGGCACACATTTCAGGAAACAGCAGAACGTGGGAACTTAATATTTAAAAATAATTCATTACAGTTGCACCAACAAGGCTCAAAAAGTGGTTAATCATAGTTGATGCCTTCCTTATTGGGGAAAGGAACAAGTTATAAGTAACTTGGTTTTTTAAACCAACTGCACCCAAACTCTGGCAGAAACATGCAAGCTTGTGGGGAAAAATCTGATCCTCTGTTAAAGTCATGGATTCTGATATAACAGTGGTTTCCAAGTTTTCTTGGACTAAAACTTCCAGAAGTCTTCACCGCTAGCTGTACTGGCCAGGATTTCTGGGAGCTGTAGTCCAAGAAGCCCTGGATTACCCAAGGCTGAGAACCACTGCAACACAAAGAGAAGAACAAGATAGCCAATGGATGACATATTTTATAGTGGCCTGTAGAACAGACAGATTATTGAACAGGCAGATATTTGAAAATGTATTGTGGGGTAGAGGAAAGGGAAAAAAACAGAATAAGAAGAAGGTGATCACTCTTAGTACGGGAATCTACAAGGAAATTAGTTATCGGAGATAGGAGATCAGAGGAAGCAAGAACATAATCAATGACACTCGATCCTCTCACTGAAAAATGGGTAAATTCACCGAGGATGTCACTGCCCGAAGAGCCGTTAAGGATAGATACATTCAGCATGATACAGAGATCAATTATTGTGTTAAAAACCAAGAACCCGAATAATGATACATTCAGAATGATACAGAGATCAATTATAGTATTGTGTTAAAAACCAAGAACCCGAATAACCACATGGCCAGTCTTCTGCATATCCATCTGTTCAATACAACATTTCCTGACAATAAGCAATCACAAAACCTAGACTTTCAGAGAGCTAATTTTCTATATTTGTGAAGACCATGGATTATAATGGTTTGGGCCTGCCAATAACTGTATAGCTTAAGGCACCTGGTAATAAGTGCTTTGTTTGTTTATTTTCCTTGCCATAACTGACTTATCAGTGACATACTCCCTCAGGTAAACACAAAATCAATCTCAAGAGAGGCACAGAAGATTTCAAGAAGATGTTCACGAAAAGTGCTCCACTGACACATGTCCAATTCCCACAAACAACGAGGCATTGTTCAGAAGCTATTCTGAACGTGAGCAGAAGCATGCGTTTGTGGCCACTTGTGACTGCTCTCTCCAACAGAAAGAACTGTGACTTCTCTCTACCAGAAAGGTACAACCCCTAAGTCAACAGGACCTCCCCTGAATCCCAAGAGGGCCGCAATGTCAGCATATCTGCTGCTACCGGGGATGTTGACAAGCTTTCGGGTCTGAGTCCCTATCAAAGATAAGCTTTCAATAAGCTTATAAGAGTGGGATGGATGGGTTTTGAGTTGTGAGTCAAGTCTTTGAAAAAAAAAGAAAGGAAATGAGTCGAGCCCAGGTCAAGTCACTGGTGCGATTTAAGTCCGATTTTTGACAGTGACTTGAGTCCTCACCTTTGGCTGCTACCATGGTCACCATGATTGCCACAAGATGTCTGAGGAAAAGTGAAGGACACACACAACCTCTAGTAAAGCAGCTGGTGAGTTGGAAGGACAGCTATCTTTAGATCTCTGAAAGGATGGTGCACAGAAGGTGGGACAAGCTTGTCTTCTGCTTCTCCGGAGGGCAGGATAACAAACATCAGGTAGCACCCATCTCAGTGCTACCTAAACTCCTGAAACCCTTTGGGAGGGAAAATGGAATGGACGTTTATCAAAGAATTATAGAGCTGTCATGCTGCGAGAATTGCTGAGTCTAGCCACTTTACTGAAGCAGAAAGTTCAATAAGATGTATACTAGATGCATGCTTCCTTTAGTGCAGTGGCTCCCAACCTTGGGTCCCCAGATGTTCCAGAAGGCTTCAGTACTAGCTGTGCTGGCCTGGATTTCTGGGAGTTGTAGTCCAAGGACATCTGGGGACCCAAGGTTGGGAACCACTGCTTCATTGCAAAACAATATGCACAGAAATGTAGCAGAAAATCAAGCCCCGCGTACATGGGGCGGGGCCCTTGCCCAGCACTAGAGGTAAATTAGAGGAAATGTTGCGTGTAACACATCACAAAGCTAGGACAAGAAGCAATGCAGCAGGGATTCAGAAAAACATAACAAACTCTGAAAGCTTTTCAAGTCCCTAGTTCACAGTAAACTTTTCACCAATCAGGTTGCTGCCCACACTAGTTCAAATTGTCCTCTGAAATCTTAAGAAATCTGGACACACTGATATATACACTGATTTAGAAAAGAAGCTTGCATATGTTGGAGTTTTTACAACCTTGGATTCTACCTGTGGTTTGAGTCACTGGGAGGGACTTTTTTGAGCTGGGTTGACTGTCAATCTTTCTGACACCAACCAATCGTTCCTTCCTGCCTCTGAATTCGTTGGAGTTTTTACAACCTTGCATTCTACCTGTGGTTTGAGTCACTGGGAGGGACTTTTTTGAGCTGGGTTGACTGTCAATCTTTCTGACACCAACCAATCGTTCCTTCCTGCCTCTGAATTCTGGACTGACTGTCAATCTGTCTGACACCAACCAATCATTCCTTCCTGCCTCTGAATTCAAAGACAGCCCCGCCTCTCTTCTCAGAGCTTTTCCCCTCTCTAGAGTCTACTGAAGTCTGTTATTGAAAGTAGTCATCTTCATCAGATTGCTGTTTTATCTGTTCAATTGTAAGCAATGGAATCTTTTGTTCTTTCTCGTACTAATGTCTCAGAGTGAGTTACTGAGACTATAAGTAAGAAAGGCGTAGACTACTTTGGAGAATTTGAACCTATTATGCGCTGTGAATCCCTTAACATCTGCTAGAGGAATTTAACCAAAAATTCAGAACTCTGAAACAGCATATGCATCTTCAAGTACAATGTAGAATTAGCTTTAATTTTCTTTTCATGTTAAGGATTTACCCTCCTGGGCTGGGCTAGATGTCTTGAATCCTGCTAGCCATAACTATCCACACTCATCCTTCACCCCTGTACCTATGCTGTCTCCTTCTTTCTTTATTTCTCTCTACCAATTGACCTACTCTTTTATTCCATTTATTCTCCCAAATATATCCATTAATTAGTTTGATTTGTGAACTACAGAACCTGCTGTTTTCACATATTGTGACTTAACAGTTCAAGTTGGCAATTAATTAAAATGCATTAATTTTCTTTTGTTATATGATATCAGTTAATATGTCCAGTACCTGAGCAATTCTCTCATTCATTAACGCTAATTCAAAAAAGAATAATTGCAAAATTAATTTCATCTAGATAATATACTACTAGTGTATAATTAATTGATAATAATATGCACATTGTCTACTTTCTATGGCCTGCCCTGTATTAATCAGCTACTAATTCATTCATTAATGCTCGATCAATATCTCATTCTGGAAATAAATCAAATTAAACTAGAAAAAAACCAACACATTTTGTCTGTTTCTTGTTTAGGCTCTATATTTTCACAGTGAAGGGGAAGTGAAAAAGCATCCCGTTTTAGACCTGGCCACTAGTTACCATGGTAACTTCCAGTTTGGGGGATAAAAACCACTCCTGCTTAGCCCTAAAACCCATCAGGGGTCAAAACATATGGTAAAATTTCTCAGTAACAAATTGGAGAATGAGAAGAACCTTTCCGAATACACAAAAGAAGGGGCATCTGGACAAAAGTGGCTTTCTGACATCTCCAAACCTTACAAAATCCCCAAACTCAAGTCCTTGACTGCCTTTGTTTGAGTTTGTGACCTGTCAGAGTTTTTATGACCTCGGATGCTGCGTGTAGTAGGTGTGGCTGAGAGGGACTTCTCTGGAATGGGGTAACTAACCAATCATTCCTTCTCACCTCTAAATTCAAAAAGAGCTACACCTCTATGCTGGGAGCTTTTTTTCCTATCTAGAGTTTGTTGTTGAAGGCAGTCATGTTTATCAGTTTGCTGTTAATCTGTTTACAACCGTAAGTAAAGAATTTTTTTAAAAAATTCTTTCTCCTATTAATGTCTCAGAGTGAGTTACTGAGAATTTAAAGGGGTGGATTCTTGGGCACTTATAGCTGTTCTCTTCTGTCAACGCTGTACTTCAGTGCTTCATAAAGGAGAATTTTACAAGAAGTTCAAATCTATGCAACATATCCAGCCCACCTGTAACCACTTTGTGTGTGTGTGTGTGTGTGTGTGTGTGTGTGTGTGTGTATGTGTGTGTGTGTGTGTGTCTTTGGGCCATTTCACTCCCAGCGGAAACCTCTCAGCCACAAAGCTAAGCACCCCCCCAACCCAATTTGATTGGCTTCAAAGTTTTAGCTATGATCTTCATGCAATTCAATAAAGCTACCTGCTTTTCATGATGACGTCATGGCAATTTTTTTTATCCTGCAGGGCTTTATGTTCCACTCGTGGGAAACAGCCAATTAGGAAACATGGCAGGTGTGTATTCAGACACAACAGACGAATAACAGTTTTTTTTAAAAAAACCCAGACACCTGTGTACCATACTAAAAATAAACATGAGAATTCGGTTTACGAAGCAGATCGTGATGGGGAGAAAAAAGGCAATCCGTTTCTTTGAACTCTTCCTTTGTCCAGATAAGCTTTGCTTTGCCAGATGCCCTTATTTTAAAATACAGTTTCATATCATAAAGCGTTTTATTATTCCCAGCACTCCGTCAGCGCAGAACAGACTTCAATAGATTCACTGCACATTTTCTTTTCCCCCTATCTGTGGACCGAAGATACACACTGGAGGCATTCATGATTGATTTTCTGTTGATATCTTTTCAACTCCTGTTTCTTCTTACAAGCACATTGTGGGCTCAATCCATCCCTCCTCCTTTTTTTAGTGCACCGAGGGCCCAAGCATAACATTTTGGACAGGGGAATCCTCAAACAAATAGGTAAAAGGGCCCCTTTCCACACACCTTCCCATATAAATGTTATTGTTATATTTTTTAATGGTGACATTAAATTTTATAGCTTTCTAAAATTATACCATAACCCACATTATGGCTTTTCAGCCCAACTTTTAACCCTCTCCCAGAAAAACACACTTTAGATCAAACAGAAAATCCAATTAGAAGAACTCTATAAAGCTTGCTAACAATATTGTACCCTTTTGGTTGGTCCTAAAAAAACAACTGCTTTTATTTTTTTTTACTCTGACACTTTATTTTAACTTTTATTCTAATGGCACGACACAGCACAAGCATTTTCTAAACAGACCGTATGCATCCCTATAGATTCCTATAAAATAGATGTTGCCAACTTGCTATTATTTTCTTCCCTCGTGTCTCTTCCTCTCCCATCTGGTCTAATAATCTATCATTAAATTGAACATTGATGTTTTATGTAGTCTTGATAAAACCCACAGTCTATTAAAGCCCTGATCTCTTTTTCCGCTTCTATTTCTGGATAGGCAGTTCCATATTCAAACCACATTCCTTAAATGTTATCAAGATGATACATCTCTGCCACGACATAAGACATAACAGACCATGATATAAGACTTCTGCCATGAAATTCTGGGACATTAATTTATAATTTTTCAGCACACTCCACAAGATATTAAGGTGTGCCTGAAAAAGTGAATTTGTTCACAAAAGCTGACACAGAATGTTTGATTCCTGGGGATCTAAACAAACATTTCATCTCTCCTACCTACATTTGAATTCTGTAAGGAACCACACGACTCGTTCTGTTGTTTCTCTTGATTCACTAGAACTACTAATAACACATCCAGTGTCAAAAAAATGGGAGATAGGGCTGGATTCCAGCAACAGCCGACTCTTTAAGTCTGGAAAACAAGGTTCAAGACTAGAGATGGATATGAATTGCCAGTTTCATGATTCGTGCTGGTTCGGACAACAGCCGAACAGGTGTTCTGTGGTTCGGCGCCTCCCCTCCCGCAAGTGCCCACTCAAAAGCAACGCCTGGAGGAGGCAGGACAGGAAAGTCGGCATGGTTCTTCCTAGTGGGCACCCACCAGAGGGGGCACGGCACCAAACCATGGGACTCCAGTTCGGCCATCATCCGAACCAATACGAACCGCTGAACTGGCAGGTCATGCCCATCTCTATCCAAGACACACAAAAGATGTAACTATGTTGGTAAGAGTTATTGTTAGTACAGTTCATGATTCACCATGAACTGTTACACTCATGAACTATACGACCCTACAATAAACCACATATAAACAATGGGGACAAATCTATAAGGAAATAATTTCAGCTGCTCAATGTAGCGTGCGAAGAGCCCAGCAATATACGTAGGTGGACAACACAGAATTAAACAAGTTAATTGGTATTGGATATAATGAATGAATAAGTGTACCTTGTGTGGGTTCATTAACAGCTTTCCGTTTTCTGCTGTGGCTGTTATAATTCAGCCTAAGTTCTTGGCTGTATTCATTGAGCGTCTCTCTGGACTCGTACGACTGTCTTGCTTTCCTTCCATCTTCGCTCTCATCCGAAGAGCTGGTGTACGCTAGATCCATTTCATGCTTGTTTTTCGACAGTGGCTGGTAGGGTTTGCAGTCCATCTGCTCCATCTCTGACAAAGTGGGCCCCGAGTCATGAAAACAAGTCAAGGCTCCTTACAGAAATAACCCTGAAAGGACAAAAAAAATGTTCGTTTTTAACAACTCTTGTTTCGAGTCTTGGCATGGGTTTAAGAACTATTTCAACAGCTAGTGTGTTTAGCCAAGGGAAATATAAATGTTCTCATTTTTGATCCCTTGAGATGAAATGTTTTAGCCAATTAATTGTTGCAAGAAATTAAATAAATAGCACAGTCATGGGAAAGCACCCTTGAGATGCTCCTTCTGTTCCATCCATTCATACCGAAATATGGACACATGTAACAGTTGCACCACACTGGAGAATGGTCCAGATGGATTTATATATTCAGGCTTCATAAACAGGAGAGAGAATGAATCTTTTCAGCCTCACCCATCTCCTCACTACTTTTCAACTTGTGTTTGGTTCAGCTGGTGTTTTTAAAAAAATTACATCATTTTTTCCCGATTTTTACGTGGGGGAAAGAGGGATCTTGGCTTAACATTGGCCAAAAAACCATGAAAAATAACCCAATTATGCCTGCCTCCAGAGAGATTACTTCCCCTCAGCCATCCAAAGCTCAGCGCTAGGCCTCTGCACTCTGCCAATAAGCACGGACAAATCCTACGGATTCCCACTGGGCCAGTCTCAGTAGAAGCAATGCCGAGAGATGGCTTGCTCCACAGCGTATTTGGGAAAAAAATGCGAGGTCACTTTCTCCCACGTCCTTTCTATTGTGGGAAGTCCTCTGTGGGTTTTCTTTTCGTTACCAAACATCATAAAAACCTTCCCTTTTTGCCCCAGCCCCTCACAAGGCAAACAAACCACTGGTTGGTGAACAGTGTGCAAAGGGACAAGAGAACGACACACATACTGCTCGGTCCCCACATCGTTTTACGCAGAGCCCAGAAGCAACCAGCTACAAATAATGTATATACCCTTATCTTGAGATTTTTCAGCAATAGGGATGTAAAGCTATTCATTTGGCTTTCATTTGGCTTAAACGGATTGTTCCTGGTGGGTTAACTACCATATTTTTCCGTGTATAAGACTATACTTTTGACTAAAATCTTCGGACTAAAAATTGAGGGTCATCTTATACACGGAAGTAAGCTGAGAACAAAACCAAGTGGCGGGGAAAGCAGGGATCAAAGCAATCCTGCAACACTTTGATCCCTTTCCCCCTGCACTTGCTAAGCCACACTTAGATTTCCTAATTTTGGATTAGAAAAGTGGGGGGAGTCTTATACATGCGGACGTCTTATACACGGAAAATATGGTAAATTCCTAATCCCAGCTCTGCTAGGGGCAGGTCATGCTAACTGGGCAGCCTTCCCTCCCCTGCCTAATGAGAAACTCTTCAAGATTCCAAAAAGCAGAAAGGGAGATGTAGCCTCCGCCGATGTCCTGTGACTGTCCTCTGTTTTAACAAATCACAGGCAGCATGCAAGGTTGCAAATTAAACTCCAACAATTTCTTATTCTCTTGTGTGTGTTTGAATTACATGACACATGATATAAGATTGCCTAAAGATGGGAACCACATCATCTAGCCCCGATAGCATAGAATATATTTTCAGTTCTTCTGCTAACCAAACACTTAAACTCTCCCATTCTTTTTTAAAGAATGATTTAATTCCTGCCACAAGGTGGATTAATGAATGCACAATAAGAAGAGCAGATGCATGGTTAAAACAACAACCTATGGCATGGATCCGCAGACTTCTTCTGAGGAGAGCAGCAAGACAAAGACAAAGTCTAACACTCAGGCAAGCAATATGAATCTGACATACAGTGCCTGCAGGATATATGAGTTCATAAAGCAGTAGACAGATTATAGGTCCATATATGTAGATTTCTCATCTTGGCAGAGTGGGAGATGAGTAACGATTCTTACGAAAGGAAGACGGGAGTGTTTAATTTGAGCTGCTCGGTGAGTTAAAATGGTGTTCACTTTCCTCCGTGCAGCTCAAAAACAAACAGAATGAAATGCAACCTCACATGGTGCCTGTGGTTTTTTGATGTGAAATGAATTAGACACAAGAAACACTTTCTGTTTAAGTGTGTTTAGAAGTAGCATATGGCAAGACTGCCAGAAATAGAAATACATTTTCCTTTGCCTTAAACCTGTGGCAAACAGTCTTGGCTGTGATGTGACTTGTACTGTACTATAATTAACACCTCCCTAATGCATTATTTTATGTGATCTATATGTATGTGGGGGTTGGGGGTTGCATGGTGAAATTGGAGCAGCTGTATTTCCTCTGTTAACATTTGGTATGTGGTTCGGCTCAAGCCATGACACAGCTGAGCATGACACCATGATTTATTTTTACAAGAACATGAGTGTCATCCCCCAGACGTGTACACCGTCCCCTTCATCTCTTCCTCTGGCACAGCCACATGGAAACTGGAAGTGTCTACTTCGATTCTGGATTAAACTTGGTTTAGGACTTCATCCAAACCTACATTCAATTCTTAAAAAAACATCTGGGCTTATGCATGCGGGATATTGTGTTTCTGTACCCATAATTCAAACAGCCAGGAAATGGCCTGATATTGCTGCACATTATTGTGCCCGCGTTGCCAGCAGGTAAAAGGATCCCAAGCTTTACATAACAAACGACCGATTGAATGTTGACCACACTCATGGCAGCAGTCAAGATGGTCTACAGGATACCCTCTTGTGCTCACTACCATTCACAAAGCAGCAAGGGAAAATCCCAGAAGCTGATTACTTTTTTCATTAGTTAACCATTTCAGCACAAAGCAATAGTCAGGTCTATTTTTCAACAAGTGCAAACAGAAACACTATAACATATTGTGTTCTGATTAACAGTCTAATGCTGTCCAATTTAAGTTTGATGATTAGCAGAAAGATGGCGCTTCCATTCTCTATCATATTGCATCCATCAAGTCAGGCCATAAAGAACCCCACCCAAATCCAAACATTCAGTTGTTGGCTTCAGTGTTCGCACAAAAGCAAGGGTGGGCAATCAGACCTTTATTGCAATGGTTCCCATCCTTGGTTCCCCAAATGTTCTTGGATGAAAACTCCCAGAGGTCTTCACCACCAGCTGTGCTGGCCAGGATTTCTGGGGGTTGTAGTCCAAGGCCATCTGGGAGCCTAAGGTTGGAAACCCATGCTTTATTAGGTGACTAACATCTCATGAGCATGCTAGCTTTCGGGACCGGTAGGACTCTTCATCAGCCTGTCCATTAAAACTTGAGGATGGGGGGGGGGAGGTGTTCCAGAAGAAACCAAAGGCACCAAGATCATCACAGCCAGCCGTCAAGGCCAAGCTCTTTTGCTTAAAGGAAATTCCACAACCTTATGAAATCAGCCTGAAGCAGAGGGTTTCCCCTCAGATGATGTAGTTTCCATTGTCAACAACATGGTTTTGACTTTCCTTAGCAAACATTGAACCTAAAATCTGTGAGTTCCATTTAGAACCGACCTCAAAATAAAGAGAACTCATGAGGCATGACTTGTTTTAGAACCCCACACCAGCTCTTAGGAACCACTGCACTCTTCTCCAGATGCTCACAGACTGATTGATTAATTAATTATCTATTTTAGAATCTTTCCTGGTATTGATTCCAAATGGATTTGGCCGGTAGCTGCCTGGCTCCTCATTCTTTCATTTCAAATTTTCTTGCCTCCAGGCTTCAGGGACTTCAACGGTTCCCCAAGAATTCACAAACATTAACATGCAGAGGCTCTGAGATTTACTGTAACATGCCAAAGCAAGACATTTTGTGGAGCGCAGCACTATCGTACATTATTTAGCAGAAAAAAAGGGAAAATGGAAAAGTAACAGCAGCAGCAGAATAATCCTGTAATTACATAATCATAACACTCTTTCTTAATGACAAATACTCAAACCACTGCTTCCCCCTCCCTCCCCCGTTGACTGCTATCTTCTGCTACTTACAATGTGCATCTTCTGAGTGTTTGCACACAACACATTCTTTCTGCAGCACTAAACTGCTCGGTGACAGCCAGAAAACTCTCAAGTGAACTTCTCTGCAGCACCATCATCTCCATGTCTAGAAAAGCCACCGCTTTTTCATTCCCATCACATGCCTATTCATGATGTACGCCTACTGTTGGAAGGAAATTTCCACTCCCAAGGAAGACCTCAGGGAGTCTGTTTTCATCACGTTCTTCTTATTAAGGGCCCCTTTCCCACAAGCTTACGCCCTTCTCCACCTTTAAAATCGTCGGAGGAGGGACCTCCTTTAGGTCCCATTGCCAGCACAGCCATGGTTGATGGAGACACAAGAGAGGGCCTTCTCTGTGGCAGCTTCCAAATTATGGGATGTTTTCCCTCAGGAGATCAGGCCAGTCCCCCCTTCCCTTTCATCCTTCCGCCTACAGCTGAAGACTCATCTTTTCAGGCAGGCTTTTAACCATCACGATCTACCCCCTGAATGCCGTTTTAAAGTTAGATAGTTTTTAATGCTTAGTTAGTTTCAATTATTCAACTGTGTTTATAATTTAATTGTTTAACTTACTGCGTTTTTAATTCTATTCTTTTTAATATTGTGAGCTGCCATGGGTCGCCTTATCAGGTGAAAGGCGGCCTATAAATAAAATAAACAAACAAACAAAAACGGAAACAAAAAAAATGCATGTTTACTCCATACATTGTGATATACAGAATAGAAATGTCACCCTACAGGGTTAAGCCTACAGTATAAGCAGTGGCTTCTGAAGCAACCCTAGATTCTCAAAGGGATATTGAGGAAATTTCTTTGGATTTAAACTGACTCCTTCAAGTTTTGGCTGCTGTTCCTCATGCAGCACTAAAACACGTGCCATGTCGTGAGCTCATGCTGCAAAGTGAGATATCATGAAACACCTCTCTCCCCCCCCGCCCGTATCTTCTTCAAGAAGAATCCGCCGACTGTCTCACTTTTGAGATGAAAGCCATGTAACATTAGAGCCATTTCAAGCTTTCATGAGGATGACTTGTGGATATCTTAAAGCTTCAGATGTCCTCAAAGTCTGAAATGACCTCTCCCGATGTCAAAAGGGGGTTGGATTTGA